GCGCCGACGACCTCGCAGATGTGGATCCCGACGTGGTCGGCGTCGCCCCTGAGCGCCGCCCTGGAGAATGTGCACTCCAGGCCGCGGGCGCCGTCGTGGGGGGAGCCGAACTCGCAGTGCTCGTCCCTGGAGTGCTCCCTCTTGTGCTGGAGCCCTCTTCGTTGGTCCTTTCGACCCGAGGGCGGCGGCGCCCCTTTGTGCCCAGCGCTCTTGGTCGGTGGTGGAGTCGCGCTCTGGACGACTAGCGGGCACTGGGTAACCAAGAGGAGGCCATTTTGCGTCGATGATGTTGTGGTCCCAGAACTGGTTGAGCGGGGCCTGGCTCCTGGTGTGGTTCCTCCTCTCGCCGATCGGCTACCATCGGCCTGGAGGTACTCGGTTCCCTAGTAGGCGATGCTACTAGTTGCGCAGCGCTCGTAGCCACGCCCAGTGGAAATCCAGCAGCTGCCTGCATGCTTCGCTGTTGGGGTTGAGGTTCCTCAGCAGCCGCCCGAGGGGCGAACGGCCGTCGCGTCCTCCCCGTGCGTCATCGCATAGGAGCTCTGCGATTCGGCATCGCGTCATGCCTTGATGTCGCCGCCGCAGGAGGTGGTTGCGCAGCCGCGTGCCGTTGGGCCTTCCAAGCGCCAATCTGGAAATCTGGCCCGCACCACTCCATCGGGCGGAATCATGTTTGGCGGCGTCCTTCCCATCCTGGAACGCGGCTGCGGGTTTAAATCTGGCTCCAGCAGGTGAACTCCTAGACGTTGTGGTAGGTCGGCTACTCACAACCACGCGCAAAGTTGAACTCGCTCCTCTCCTGCTCCCCGCAGGCCCGAAGTGCGAGCTCGTCGGAGGTATTGCCGGCCTCTGTCCCATCGCACTGCCAACCATCAGTGTCGCGATCGGTTGGAAATAGCGGGTCCTCTTCTACATCACTAAACGAAAGGGACGTCAAAATGAAGGGGCCGTCGTCAGGACGAACGTCAAAGCAGCTGCTGGCCAGACTGCTCCACGCCGCGCCCGGCGCCCTCAGTGGCCGCCAGCTTCAGGGCGCCATAGACGGGGGCACAGCAAACGGGGGTACGGGGAGCGCCGATTTCAACGTCTGGCTATGCTCCCGTTTAGGCGGCCCTGGGCGCCGTAGACGGGGGTACAGTAAACAGGGGTAGACGGAAAAGCCTGAGCCACCGTTTAGCTAAACCCCCGTTTACGAAGCTCCGACAGCTTGCCTTGGCGTCCGCCAAGACATCGGTAGCGCTCCCCTGGGGCCGACCTTCGGCCTGCGCGGTGGCCGCGGCAGCTGCTGGGGCAGACGAGCCAGCGGCCGCGGCTGGTACTGCCGCGTGGCCAGGATGCCCGCTTGGTGCTTCTTCGTCCGCCTTGGTCTTGCGCTTCTTCTGGATCACCGAGCGCGTTCCACTACTCGCAAAGTGCCTACTCGCAAACGTCCGACAAACACATGTCTGCTTCGATGTCATTTATCATAGATCCCTCGCGGCGCATCCAGGCCATTTGCGAGTAGTCAGTTTGCGAGCAGTGGAACGCGCTCGTCTACTGGAGGCGCTCCTCGAGTGCCTTCTGCTGCCTCTGGAGCTCGTGCCCCTCCGTGGCGAACTGGCCGAGCGCCGTGGTGGCAAGCTCCTTGACCTTCTGCTGGAGTGCCAGATTCCTGTTCGCTGCCTCCTCCGTGTCAGACTCCGTGATCTCGTGCCCCTCCAGCTCCTCCAATGCGTCGAGCCCGAAGAGCCCGTCGTCGTCGAGCTCGACGTCGTGGCCGTCGTGGCCGTCGTGGTCGGCGCCGTTGGCTCGGCTGCCTGCTGCTGTGGGACCACCTGCCTGACGAGCGTCTGGATGGCGCTGGCGCAGGCCTTCGTGGCACCGTCCGGCCCGATGGCCGCCCGAGCCGCGCGCTGCCTGGCCAGCCACAACACTGCTCCTGCAGGTGCTCCTCCTGGCCCGCCGCCCCCCGGGAGCCCGACCGCGGCCTCGTCTCCGACCAGCTTGGTCGCGTCCACCGGCAGGGGGGCAGCGCGCCTGGCCTCGCGCAGCTTGTCCGGCTGCACATGTCAGGTTAGCGCAGGCATGGATCAATGGGGGCGAGGGTCAGCGACGGGTCCCGTTTCCGTGGGAGATCGCGGAGTCCCGCCGCCGAACGAGGCGGCGCCGGCCGCATTTTGGGGAGGGCACCTCCCCTGGTTCATGGATTAGGCGACCGCGCGCTAAATCCATGGATCGCTAATCCATGTTTGCGCGCCCCCGAATCTGGTACTTTTGCGCCCCCTCGTGTCATCCATGGAGAGCCGCAGGAGGCCGACGAGTTGCGCCAGCTTGTCCTCCTCAGGGTCTGCCACCTCTCCTGCTCCTGTGGCTTGGCCCCAGTCCTCGGGGGCGAAGCGCGCGCGGGAGCTGGGCCGCGGGCGTGGCTCGCCAGCGCCAGGGGCAGGAGGACCCCGGCGCCAGGGCGCCGTGCCACGGCCGCTGGAGCGCCCCCCCTGCGCGGCGGAGGCCTGAGGGGCAC